GGAAATCCAAGTAACTTAGATGAGAATACAGAAAGCATGGCTGGTAAGTTTGCAGATGACATCAAAATTATTGGTTAATGTATGTGAAGAAGGTTATCTTAGATTACAAAGCTGTCTTAAAGCAATTGGGTCAATGGGCAGGGGAGTGGCAGATGGAGTTTAATTTGAATAAATGCAAGGTATTACATTTTGGTAAAACAAACAAGGGCAGGACTTATACAATTAAAAGTATGGCCTTAGGTAGTGGTGTAGACCAGAGAGACCTAGGGGCTCTGGTGCATAAATCTTTGCAATTTGCATCACAGATAGACAGGGTGGTTAAGAAGGCATTTAGCACACTTGCCTTCATTGCTCAGACCTTTGACTATAGAGTTTGGACCTTATGTTGAGGTTGTACAGGATGTTGGTGAGGTCTCTTCTGAAGTACTGTGTCCAGTTCTGGTCGCCCAGTAATAGGAAGGATATTATTAACCTGGAGAGGGTTCAGAAGAGATTTACCGGGATATTGCCGGGACTAGAGGGTTTGCATTATGGGGAGAGGCTGGGACTTTTTTCATTGGAGTATAGGAGTTTGAGGGATGACCTTATCGAGGTTTGTAAAATCATGAGGGACATAGATAAGATGAATGGCAGGTGTCTTTTCCCTCGGGTGGGGAATTTCAAAGCCAGGGGACATTATTTTTAAGGTGAGAGGAGAAAGATTTAAAAAGGGCATGAGGGGCAATTATTTTACACATGAACTTCCAGAGGAAGTGGTGGAAGGTGGTACAGTTACTACATTTAAAAGACATTTGGATAAGTACATAAATAAGAAATGTCTGGAGGGATATGGGCCAAGCGCAGGCAGGTGGGACTAGTTTAGTTTGGGATTATGGTCAGCATGGACTGGTTGGACCGAAGGGTCTTTTTCCGTACTGTGTGACTCTAAGAGGTGTTCTCCTGTGTCAATGCACTAGGTTTGAACCAATGAACTAGCATGAGAGGCAAATGTTTGTTACACTGCACACCACTTTCCTCTGCTTATTGCTCTTGTGCTCCGAATGAAAGGCGTGTTTTACTGACCCCTGTGGGCCCAATGGCCAATGTCACAATGCTGAAGGGAGTTTTAATTCTGCTTGTGAAGCAGGATTTCACTCAGATTCCAAAAGGTCTCAAACTACCTGGTCAACCCAAGCCTTTTTGTTGGGTTGTGACAGTGGCAGGTCCAACCTTGAGTCGAAGCCAATTTGTCTTCTGTTCAGTGTTGCCTCTACTTTAGTGCGGGTTCCACACTACACTCCGATATCTCCATTGGCACTTCCTCAGCACTCAAATGTCACAGTCTCTAAGGATTTGACATAGGCCATTTAAGATTGAGATGAGGTGACTTTTTTTTCACCCAGAAAATGGTGAGCTTGTGGAATTCTGTGTCACAGAAAGTTATTGAGACCAAAACATTGAATGTTTTCAAGAAGGCGTTAAACATAGTTCTTAGTGCTAAAGGGATCAAAGGCTGTGGGGAAGAAAGCGGGAACAAGGGATCAGCTGTGATCATATTGAATGGCAGAGCAGTCTCGATGGGCTTGAATGGCCTACTCCTGCTCCTATTTTCTGTCTTTCAGTTTAGCATTGATTGTCAATTCACTACTACTAGTTTTGCATGAATGTCCAAAGTCAAAATTTACTACTTGATGTTTGCCTTCTATCACAGTCTGTCCTCCCTAACCAACGGTCTCATTCCTTTTCCTCAATGTGCATAGGTACAATCTCACATTCTACCGACTCAAGACTCGCTTGTGTGTCTAATTCCCTATCACCTGCAAACTTCCACATCCATTGAGTAACACCAGTGACACGAATGAACTTCTTCATCCTCCTGCCCATACCGACCCAGCCTTTCCAAACCTCCCCAGGTCTATCCCTCTGGTTCTACCATATACAGGTTCTATCCATTCCTTATGCTGCAGGAATCCTCTCATTTATTGTACTGTCTTGAATAAATTGCACTGGTTATCATCAATTTCAAATTCTGCATCCACACAAAACTCTCCACTGCTTCATTCCATGTGTCACTGTAGATTTCTACAGCATCTGTGACTGTCCTCTTCCATGTCTATCTACAATGCATTCCTACCTCCTTTCAGCTCCAATATCAATGACGACACCTTGCACCCACTCCTAATCCTTGCTATTGTCTCTCCCCACATTCAAAAACCATTTTGAACTATTTCGTCCACTTGCCCACCCTCAAAAGTGCACCATTAAAAGAGTGGGTTCAAGAAGGTGCCTAATCAGGAGGACTCTTTGTTTCTCTCTCAACAGTAGATTTGATTCTCATATTTCTTACAATTGTTCTGCACAGTTCAACCTCAATTCTAACACGGCCCAGTCTATCACACAAACCAGCCTCCCGTTCATTGACTCCACCTACACTTCCCACTGCCTCGGAAAGGCAGCCAACATTGTCAAAGACCCCTCCCACCCCGGTTATAATCTCTTCCACAGAAGACACAAAAGCTTAATCACACATACCAACAGGTTAATGACAGCTTCTTCCCTGCTGTTGCTAGACTTCTGAATGGACCTCTCAATTTTTGAATGTAATGTTGATCTTGCTTTCTGTGCACCTCCTGTGCAAGCCATAACCTTGTATTCCTCGCTCTGTTCTATGACCTTTGTATGTTATGATATGCCTGTGCTGTACACAAAACAAAACTTTTCACTGTACCTAGGTACATGTGATAATAATAAAACAAATCAAATCAAAAATCGCATTGAAAGAATAGTATATTCGGGTTAACGTTACAGGTTAAATTTATTTATAAAAGTAAGTAATTAGAGGGAGAAGCAAAAAGTAGGCATAACTATTGACAAGAAGTAATGAGTGGTGTGCCACAGGAATTGGTGTGGGGGCCCTCAACTGTTTACAATTTGTATCAATTACTTTAATGAAGGAATTAAAGGTACATTTGCCTTATTTGCTGACAACACAAGGATAGGTAGGAAAGTAGGTGGTGAAGTGAGTGTGGCAAATGGAGTATGAGGTGGGGAAGTATGAAAGTGCCCATTTTTCAGTAGGAAAATTTGAGAAAGAAACATATTATCAGAGTGGTGAGAGATTGTAGAGTTCTGAGTTGCAGAGGAATTTGAGAGACACGAATTGTAAAAGGTTGGTTTGCAGGTACAGGAAGTGATTAGGAAAGTTAATACATTGTCATTACAGCAGACTGTGGTGTAACAGGCACCCTACAGACCAGCACTCTCGATAAACCGATAAAATTATTTGCCTCAAATACCGCAAAGTTGTCTGCAAAGTTCTGTCCAATGACTTAACTTATTTACCTCAACGTAAATACACTTGTCGCTTAATTGAATGGCTACACAAAATATCAATGGCTGATTCAATTTCGAGTCAATTTCTCCTCAAATACCAGGATCTCCGTGATTTCTGAGTAGTCAGTTGCGGGTGTGAGTGAGAAGGCTCTCCGTCGTTAAGTTTTATTTAAGGCAAAGCCTCATTGTTATTTGAGTGATTTTTGCCATAAATAAAGCATAACAATGGTGTGTATATCCCATTGCATTATGTTTCCATTACCTAATGTGTGCGTTTACATTGATTATATGTGGACCCAATGATTATCTGGAGTATTCGATCGATCGGCGCATTCCTGCTCCCATTGTGCAGGATAGTAAAAAGTTTGCAGTATTTATTGTGAAGGAAATTGATTTACAGAAGTAGGAACGTTATGATTCAGTTATACAGGGCACTTGTGGAACACCTCTGGAATACTATGTACAGTACTGGTCACACTACTTAAGAAAGGATGCACATCTATTGGAGACAGCTGCATGAAGGTTTCTGAAACTAATACCAGGAATGAAGAAAGGTCTAGGCCCGAAATGTCAGCCTTCCTGCTCCTCTGATGCTGCTTGGCCTGCTGTGTTCATCCAGCTCTACATCTTGTTATACCAGGAATGGGGACGTGTCTGACGGTGAAAGGATGAACAAGCTAGGCTTGTATCGAGTTTAGGAAAGAGATGACTTGATTGAAACGTTTATGATCCTGAGAGATCTTGACCGGAATCGTTTTAGGAGGATGTTTCCTCTTGTGGGAGAGTCCAGGATTAGGGTTCAGTATTTAAAAATGAGGGGTCACACATATGAGGTAAATCATTTTTTTTTTCATTTGAGCGCTTTCTTCCTGAAATGATAATGGAAGTCGAGTCCTTGAGTATTTTTTAAGGCAGAGGCAGATAGATTCTTGGTAACTAACACAAGGTTGAAAGGTTATCAGCGGCAGGTAGGAATGTGGATTTGAGGTGACAGTCAGATCAGCTGTAACCTTATTGAATAGCAAGGCAGTCTCGATGGCCTGAACGGCCTACTCCTGATTTGTATGTTTACGTCACAAGCAACATCTAAAGGTAAGAGCTGAGTATTTACATTCAAGCCTCTACCAATCCTTTTGAGGGCAAGTTTATCGCTTAAGTTTCAACTGAATGCAGACTTGATGGTGCATTGGTCCATCAGGGTGGCAAGGGGGCTCGGAGATTAGTACTGCTGCCTTACAGTGCCAGAGACCTGGCTTTGATTCCATCGGGTGACTGAGGAGATTGCATATTCTCCCCGTGTCTGCGTGGGTTTCCTCACACAGTGCAAAGATGTGCAGGTTGGGGTAGATTGGCCATGCTAAATTGTCCAGGGATGAGTAAGCTAGACGGGTTAGCCATGGGAAATGCAGGGTTACAGGGACAGGGTAGCTGGGTGCATCTGTGTGGAATGTTCTTCGGAGGTTGGCATGGACTTGATGGGCCGAACGGCCTGCTTCCACAGTGTAGGGATTCTATGATTCTGATCAGGACTTTAGCTCTGGCAACTCAAAGTTTCATGGATGAGCTTCATTTAAATCAACAGATTTTTATGTGTATTGAAGTGTGGGCTTTGTTTCAAACCTGGTCCAGTTTATTAAAGGCTAGTGTAGAACATAATTCACCTGTTTATCTTTCTTCTTACATTACAGACAAAGACGAGTGTCTCTCTGATCCATGTGGGCCCAATACAATTTGCCACAACACTGAAGGAAGTTTTTACTGTACTTGTAATCGAGGGTTTTACTCAACCTCTATCGATCGTCAGTTTGCTGGTAAAAACGAGTCCTACTGTAAAGGTGAGTACAATTTCAGATTGAGTCAGAAGTCAAGTAACGAAGGAGCAGCGCTCCGAAAGCTTGTGATTTTAAATAAACCTGTTGGAATATAACCTGGTGTCGTGTGAGTTCTGACTTTGCCCACTTTCTACGGGTTTCACCCACTTCCCAATTTCTTTATTATCCTCATTGGCTGCCCCTTCCCCTGTCCGTTAACAAGTGCACCAACTCCTGTCCCTCGACATATTGATGTTACCCAGGATTTGAAAACCTGGATTACTTAATATTTCTGGATTTCCTTCCAGATTACAATGAGTGTGAGACGACTACAACAACATGCGGAAATAATGCAAGCTGCCATAACAATGCAGGGAGTTTCTATTGTACATGCCATGAAGGATTTGCCCGAGCAAGTGGTGAAAGGACTTTTACTGGATATGGAAAAGGGTGTCAAGGTAAGATTATCATTGCCTTGATTCACTTTAAAATTGTCATCTTATAGGTTACTTGGAAAGTTTATTTCATGTTATTGCTCTCTGACTTGAAACTCCTGAGACTTTTTTTTCCCCCAAAATTTCTAACTAACCTGTTCAGGGTGTTATGACACATCTCTAGAATTTAACTCGGATCTCCTGGTGCAGAGATACAGACACACTGCACCACAAGACACATGAGGCAGCAGCGATATATTTCTGCATCAACCTTTTTAGAGATGATATTACACACCTCTGGAGCAGGTGGGATTGAGGCTAGGACACTACCAATATCCCACAAGAACCCTTAACTATTGCTGGGATCTAAACTAGAGGGACAATTACTAACAGATAATCTCTTAACTACATTGTCGCCATTTAAGAAATACTCTCGCAGTGAGCGAACTCATCTTTATTCTCAACCTTGCCATCCAGTGGCTTTCTGAGAGACCAGTTTGTTAGGGCAGTTTGTAACAAAGTAGACAAGAAAGATTTACATCGATTAAATTCTCCTAATGATAGTGTGAATCCCATACAATTTTACGGCAACTATTCTTAAAGGGTAGTCACTGTGGTCAGAGATGGTGGCATACCGAGGACATTTTTTAATGGTTGTAAAACAAAGTTAATGGGTATTTTGGGGCATGGAGGAAGGTTTCTAGTAGGGTTCCCCAATGGTTGGTATTGGGATTTTTGCATTCCTGATGTATATTAATGATCAGGATCATGGTATGAAGGTGACAACAATCTCTCGGTCAGTAATGACATGACAATCTACATACTGAACAACACTCCCTCAGTCTGAGACAGTAAGAACTGCCGATGCTGAAGCCTGAGATAACACAGTGTGGAGCTGGAGGAACACAGCAGGCCAGGCAGCGACAGAGGAGCAGGAAAGCTGACGTTTCGGGTCGGGACCTTTCTGAAGAAACACCTTTCTGTGTTCCTCCAGCTCCACACTGTGTTAACCCCCTCAGTCTGGCCTGAGGTATCAGCCTTCACACTGAACAACACTCCCTCGGTCTACATTAAGGTGTCAATCCAGACATTGTACAATTCTCCCTTAGTCTAGGAGCAAATTACTGCAGATGCTGGAATCTGTTTTGAAAACAAAAAGTGCTGGAGATCACAATGGGTCAGGCAGCATCTGTGAAGAGATAGAAAGCGAACATTTTGAGTTTAGATGACTCAACACTCCAACACCACTCCCCACCCCACGATTGCGTAAATAAGAGCCATCTAGTCTCAAAACATTAGCTTGCTTTCTCTCCACGGATGTTGCCTGACCCGCTGTGATCCCCAGCATTTTATGTTTTCTCTCCCTCAGTCCGTACTGATGTGACAACCTACACATTGTACAACACTCCCCCAGGTTGTAGTGAGCTGTCAGTCTTGATATAACTGTCCCTCAGTCTGTGCCATGGTGTCGATCTAGACACTGAGCTCAGGACTTTTGAGCAGGACCTAAGCCACATGAGGCTGACAGAGCGGTATAAAGCTACCAACTGAGAAATGGATGACGCATATGTGGTAAAATGCGTGTCTCGCATTTCCCTTTGACAAGTAGCCTTAACATGCAAAATTCTTACAACTATCTGCAAGGCTCTTTAAGCATCTATTAAAATTGGTTTAACATGTTAGTCCAATTTTTAAAAAAGCCCTGATATCACTTCTCCCTCAAGGAGAAGGAAGGACTTGTCCTGAATTTGTTAGTTTTCAAGACCTAAGGCATTGCAAAGAGTTTTACAGTCAGTTAAATTCTGTTGAAGTGTAGTTACTGTCAGAAACTGTAAATAATTTGCATACTGCAAGTTTGCACCCAAACAGATAGCTTGATTTTTTTGTTTAGTGTTGTTGATTGTAGGATCCTATTGTTGAGAAATGCCAAGTTTTCTTCAGAATAAAGTATTCTCTGTCCTTCTGAATGGGCAAAGGGAGCCTCAGTTTAATATCTCTCTCTCTCTCCTGTGAATAGCCCTTCAACACCAGCCTTGATTTTGGACTGTGATTATAATACTGAGTGAATGAACTCTAATCTAGTTGTGATAGTACTTCTTCACTCCTGCCCTGGAACTGAACAGAAAATAAAATGAGATCAAATTGCATCTTGCACACTTAATTCCAGATTTATGGCCTGCCTCTCCCTCTCTGCAAGGATTGATGCAGATCAGAATTGACCCCAATGTTTCTTTGAATGTTTTTAGCTGGGTTTCAAACATTACACTGCATTGTACAGCCTTTGTCTGACCTTAAACTTGAATCACGTTGGATGTTGCTGGAAAGGTACACATGTTGGGGGACCTGAACAAAACCTGATCAGCACCACATCGACAAACATCTGCTCCCTCCACCACCGACGCTCGGTCGCAGCAGGGTGTACCATCTACATGATGCGCTGCAGAAATTCACCAAAGATCCTCAGACAACACCTTCCAAACCCATGACCACTTCCATCTGGGAGGGCAAGAGCAGCAGATACATGGGAACACCACCCCCTGCAAATTCCCCTCTGAGCCACTCACCGTCCCCGACTTGGGAATATTCAGTGTTGCTGGATAAAAGTCTGGAAACTCCCTCCCTAACAGTACTGTGAGTCTACCCACACTCTCTGAACTGCAGCGGTTCAAGAAGGCAGCTCACCATCACTTTCTCAAGGTGCAGCTAGGGACGGGCAATAAATGCTGGCCCAGTGAAAACCACAGCAGCTGAATGAAGTTAAAAAATACCCTGTTAATGCTGTGTTCATCAGGATAGTTGTAAGAAAGGCAAATTTCATATGAACGAAACAATTAGCACAACAAAAGAAAGGGTAATGATTAAAAACCTAAAGAACTGCGGATGCTGTAAATCAGGAACATAAATGGAAGTTGCTGGAAAAGCTCAGCAGGTCTGGCAGCATCTGTGAAGGGAAAAACAGAGTTAACGTTTCAGGTCTGGTGACCCTTCCTCAGAACTGATGGTGGCTGGGAAAATATCAGTTTATATGCAGAAAATAGGGAGGGGGTTGGGGTAGGGAGTAAGGATAATGATTGTTTGCCAGATTGACACTGATCAGCTGTGATAACACCATGCGATAAAGGAATAAAGCTCCCAGAAATTCCAGAAAAATGTGCAAAGCTTGAAAGTATCCCTGTCATTTGCAGAGAACTAGTCCGCATATTGTTTCTATCAAATGTAAATGAAATGGTTGACAAGTTTAGAGAGAGGGTGGCACAGTGGCTCAGTTGTTAGCACTGCTGCCTCACAGTGCCAGGGACCCTCAGGTGACTGCTTGTGTGAAGTTTGCACATTCTCCCTGTGGCTGCGCTGGTTTCCTCTGGGTTCCTCCCATCAACCAAAGATGTGCAGATTATACGGATTGGCCATGAGAAATTGTCCAAGGATGTGCAGGCGAGGTGGGTTAGTCATGAAGAATGCAGGGTTATAGGGTAGGGAGTGTGTCTGGGTGTGATGCTGTTCAGAGGGTCAGTGTGGACTCAGAGGGCCGAATGGCCTGCTTCCACGCTGTAGGGATTCTAAGTTTGATGTATCATCTGGAGACATGTATGATACAAACAAACTAGAAAGCCTTCTTCACAAAGTTTTAACAAAGGTCTAAGCTTCAAGGTATCTACCACCTTTTGTGATACTTTGTTCAATCTGATTTTCGTATACTTCAATTTCCCTTCTATTTTTGTTCAGTTTCGTCTTGACATTAGGATAGCGCAACCTGAACTTAACAAGAAAAAAACGTTATAATTTACACTTCCAGGTTCTATTTAGAATTTGCTTTCATCATGTGGACATCCAGAGTTATCGAAGTTGCAAAAGGACCTTTATCAAATGTACGTAGCATTGTGTGCACCCTGCACTGCTGATAGCGGTGGCCACTTGCTGACAGCATACAGAGTGATCAGATTCAGTTCTCTGTTACAGATGTTAACGAATGTCACTCCAGCCCATGCGGTTCTCATGCCAACTGTACAAACACAGTGGGGAGTTATATCTGTACGTGTGACCCTGGCTTTATATCATCATCTGGAGGGAGCAGAATGCATCGCACCGATACATGTATCAGTAGGTGCTTTACATTTTATTCTGTAATGTCTGTCTGTCCTTTTCTTTTTAGCTACAAGGCTCATACCTCAGTACAGAGCAGTAAGCCCTCGTTTAAAGTTGCGCTGTTTCACTGTAACATCAGAGTGTTAAAGTTGCCTGTCATTTCCTTGAGCATTGCAAGTTTTTGTTTTAATGTTGTTTCCTTTGTGAGCATGTTGGTGCCTTTTCCCATTCCCTGACATTTGGGTTCCAGCTTCTCCCTGCTCCCTGAATCCAATTATTGGTCTCTCTCTGCTCCCCTTCCTCTGCGATATGGACCCTACCACTGCACCCTCCCCCCTCATCTGTGATATGGATACTCCCCACTGCCCACCCTCCAGTATATGGATCCTACCCATCCCACTTACCACCACCCATGAAATGGACTCTCCCTACTCCCCGCGCTCCGAGATATGGATATTCCCACTCCCCAGTTTATGGACTTTACCACGCGTCCCACACCCAACCCAGAGGTATGAAGCTCCCTACTCTCCTCCCTCTGAGATATAAACTTTCTCACTTCCCATCCTCCAAGGTATGGAGTCTCCCCACTCCCGTGATATGGACTCCCCCCACTCCAGCCCCGCTGAGATACAGACACTCCCATTAGCACATCCCCCCCCACTCCGAGATATGGACCCTCCCTACTCCTGAGTTGCTGTCTCTATACTCTCCTTGACTCATTCTCTCACCGATTGCCTCTCATTGGCTTGCATCTCCATTCAACATCTGGAGTTGATCCGAAACTGGATGTGCCATATCGCGGGAGTGCATGTCCTGCTCTGGGAAAATTGAGTGATGCACTCAATTCCCCAACCAGAGAGTGGAATTTAAGAATGATCAGATCAGCCATGATCTCATTGATTTTTGGAGCAGACTCGATGGGCTGAATGGCCTACACCTGCTCCTATGTCTTATGTTCTCGCAATAGCACAGTATAGGCTCCAAGCTCCATACTGTGCACATATTTAATAAACCTTTAAGGAGTCAGATTTGCTCAAATTGTAATGCCCTGGTTCCACTCCTTGCCTGGCGAACAACAACAACCTGCATGTATATAGACCCCTTGAAGGCGCTGAATGTCCGATCACTCTCAAGCCTTGCCTGTCAGGTCAGGCAAAGTGGATCCTCAGGGAGCTTCCCCCCTGCAAGAGGCCACTAACGACGCATTGTCGCCTTCCATTTGGCAGAGCACAATGTCTCGTACTTCCTCTGGTTCTCAGGCTCTATCGAAAAGTCTGGGGAACTGTCAGCAGAGCAGAAACAGGTTGCTCAATCTTCCATCTCAATTTTAATTCCAAGAGCAGCTGCCTCACAGAGGAGTTCGGGGTTCATGTATATAATTGTTTGACGTTTGCATCATAGAAAGATAGGTTTGTTAAGAAAGCTTGACTTCATTGCTCTGAAGTTTAACTAAATGAGTTGGGACGTCATGTTGAGGTTGTACAGGATGTTGGTCAGGCCTCTAATGGAGTAATGTGTCCAGTTCTGATCACCCTGCTATAGGAAGAACATTATGAAGCTGAAGAGGGCTCAGAAAAGATTTACCAGGACGTTGCTGGAAATGGAGGGTTTGAGTTATAAGGAGAGGCTGGATAGGCTGGGACATTTTTCACTGGAATGTAGGAGGCTGAGGGGTGACCTTATAGAGGTTTATAAAATCATGAGGGGCAGAGATAAGGTGAATGGCAGGTGTCTTCTCCCCAGGGTGGAGGATTTCAACACTAGGGGGGAATATTTTTTAAGGTGAAAGGAGAAGGATTTACAAAAAACATGAGGGGCAATTTTTTTATACAGAGAGTGGTTTGTGTGTGGAACGCACTGCCAAACTAAGTGGTGGATGTGGGCACAGTTACAACATTTAAAAGACGTTTAGATAAGCGCATGAATAAGAAAGGTTTGGAGGGATATGGGCCACTATGAGGCAGGTGGGACCAGTTTAGTTTGGGAACATGGTTGGACCAAAGGGCCTGTTTCTGTGCTGTATGATTCCATGATTTTTGAACTCTAGAGTTAAAATCCCACACACCCCCACAACAGACCCAACGTAAAAATTAATTGAAAATTGAAAATCACCAAAAACAGAGATGAGGAGATTTTTTTTTCTTTCAGAGGGATCTGAGTGTCTTTAGAATTCATTTCATTGAAAGACAGTGAAAATGGGGATTTTGAACCTTTTAAAGACAGAGATAGATATATTCTTGAGATGCAAGTGAGGCAGTGGAGAGAAAGGGGATCGGGTTGGACAGGAACGTGGAGAGATCAGATCAGCCATGATCTTATTGAATGGTAGAGTGACTTGAGGGAGCTAGAGTTTTCTACATTGATTCCTAGCATGGCAGGACTGATGTACAAGGAAAGACTGGATCGGTCAGCACTACATTCACTGGAGTTTAGAAGAATGTGGAGGAATCTCATAGAAAGTTCTGTGTAAAATTCTAACAGGACTAGACAGGGTAAGGACGACCAGGGGGTTCAGACCTGTGGTCACAGTCTAAGGATATTGAATGAACCATTCAGGACTGAAATAGAGTCATAGAGTCATACAGCACAGAAACAGACCCTTCAGTCCATCCAGTCCATGCCAACCATAATCCCAAACTAAACTAGTCCCACCTGCCTGCGCTTGGCTCATATCCCTCCAAACACTTCTTATTCCTGAACATATCCAAATGTCTTTCAAACGTTGTAACTGTACCTGCACCCACCACTTCCTCTGGGAACTTCATTCCACACACGAACTACTCTCTGTATAAAATATAGTCACCCCAAGCCCCATGTCTTTTTAACATCTTTCTCCTCTCGCCTTAAAAATACGTTCCCTAATCTTGAACTCTTGAGATGAGGAGAAATGTCTTCACCCAGAGAGTGGTAAACCTGTGGAATTCTCTGTCATAGGAAGCAATGGAGGCCAAAATATTGAATGTTTTCAAGAAGGAGTTCGATGTAATTCTTATGACTGAAGGGGACGAAGTGGAGAGAAAGAGGGAACAGGGGACTGAGTTGGATGATCAGCCACGATCCTATTGAATAATGGGGCAAGCTCGAAAGGCTGAATGGCCTAGTCCTGCTTCTATTTTCAATGTTTATTAGACCCCTGCAACCTCTTCCCTTTGACACAGCCATTCCCATGTGTCAAACCCGTGCAGATATTGGTGATAGTATGAATTGAAGAAGTAGCAGCAGCTACATAGAGAAAGTGCTCACTAACTTTGCTCACAGGCCCAAAAATTGTCCACCCTGTACACAGCACAGCTCAAATACTGTGGCTTATCGAAAGATGTTGGCTGAACATCGTCGGAATACTCCATGAAACCCTGTTTCCACAGAACACACAGCAGCGATAACTTATATTCATATGTGGAGAACTTTTAATGATGCCAGACAAAACATGCCACTTCAGATAATATTAGACAACTTGATGAAAAAGATGTTTCCCTGGAGTGTTCGAAAGGACAAAAGCAAGAGTGGAGATGCAGAAAGGTATAGGGAGGGGATTCCAGAGTTTAGGACCCAGACAGCTGAAAGCGAAGTAACCAAACCACCACTAATGCTCTGTAGCAGCAGTGTGTACCATCTACAAGATGCACTGCAGAAATTCACCAACGCAACTTCCAAACCCACGACCACTTCCATCTAGAAGGACAAAGGCAGCAGATACATGGGAACACCACCCCCTGCAAGTTCCCCTCCGAGCCACTCACCGTCCTGACTTGGAAATAGATTGCCATTCCTTCCGTGTCACTGTGTCAAAACCCTGGAATTCCCTCCCTAAGGGCATAGTGGGTCTGCCTACAGCACATGGACTGCAGCGGTTCAAGAAGGCAGGGGCAACTAGGGATGGGCAATAAAAGCTGACCCAGCCATCAATGCTTATGTCCCACGAGGGAATAAGTTTTCAAAAACATTGGATCGATTTAAAATTTGGGATATGCAAGAGCTAATATCTGGAGGAGTGTAGGTATCTAATTGGGCTGTAGGGCTGGAGGACATTACAGAGAGCAACTTGCGTTCCTGTAGTGCCTTTGAGACAGCACAATGTCCCAAAACGTCAGGACCCAGGGGCAAAATTTGACATTGAACCACGTGAGGAGACTTCAGGCCAGGCCACGCAAGATAGATCTGAAGGAGAGTGTGTCCCTGTCAATACTGGCTCCTCTTCAATATCCAAAGCTTTCTCCTTTAGCACGAATCCAGCACATTCTGATGCATCTTTCAAACTGCTTACGGAACTGTAGGGAGAATTATTGATAGTTTTTGGACACAGGAAATCAGACAAAATGATAACATTCTGCTGAAGTTCACCCTTCTGTTTGCCTCCCAAGAATTTGACTGCTCTTCTGATGAAGTTGCCAAATGTTCCCGCGTAGCCATGGAGACGGAGTCGATGCAGGTAGGTCGCCATGGTTGCCGTGGCATTTTCTGACCATCCTGAGGATGTGGGTCCTCAATGTTGTCTCCTCGCCGGTTTTGCAGCATAGCTTGTCTCCCTGATGTTCCTCAGAGCAAACCGAAGATGACACCAGTTTCTCAGTGAACGAACGGTTTATTTACATGAGTTTTACAATATCTACACAGTTGTTTTTTTTTAATATAGAATCCCTACAGTGTGGAAACAGGCCCTTCAGCCCAACAAGTCCACACCGACCCTTGAAGCATCCCACCCAGACCCATCCCCTTATAACCCACCAAGCCTGCACATCTATGGGGTAATCTAGCATGGCCAATCCACCCTAACCTGCATATCTTTGGACTGTGGGAGGAAACCGGAGGAAACCCACGCAGACACAGGGAGAATGTGCAAACTCCACACAGACAGTTGCCCGAGGCCGGAATCAAACCTGGGCCCCTGGCGTTGTCAGGCAGCAATGCTAACCACTGAGCCACCATGCCACCCTCGCTCTGTTATGAACACTCAGATTTTCACCACGATGCAGATCAGACCCCATCCAATCCAGTCAAAAAATGCTAAAGGCAATCCCAAGGCTCCCCACCCTGAACACAATGACCTTTCCAATTTCCAGCATCAAGAATGGAGTGAGGCCAGGTTTGCCGTTGCACAGAGGCAACTGGCCATTGAAACCTCTGATTACCTCCACTCATGAGGGGTATACACAAACTAAGTGGCAGGTATCTTTTCTCTAGGGTGGGGGATTTCGAGGCCGGGGGCATATTTTTAAGGTGAGAGGAGGAAGATTTTAAAAAGACGTGAGGGGCTGTTTTTTTTTGTATGCAGTTTGTGTGAGGAATGAAATTCCAGAGGAAGTGGTGGATGTGGGTTACAGTAACAATGTTTGAAAGACATTTGGATAAGGACATGAATAGGAACGGTTTAGAGGGATAGGGGCCAAGTGCAGGCAGGTGGGACTAATTTAGTTTGGGATTATGTTCAGCATGGACTTGTTGGACCAAAGGGTCTGTTTCCATGCTGTATAACTCTATAACTCTGAAGTGAGATTTGGACACATCCACAGCATAGAACACTGAGTATGGATTTAAGATCCGCTAGGAGCTTTCTGGATTTGTTTCGTTTGCTGATGTGCCCCTGTGGAGAACTAAGACACTCGTACGGATATTGTCCTGGGATACATTTGGTGGGGAGGCCTGTGTCAGGCACCCCAGGTTGGGGCTGGGTGTGGGAGGGGTACCCTTAGGGTATTGTTAGCGGTAAAACAAGATTGTGCTTAAGAGGACCATAAGTCCCTTGGTGTGGCAATCCTGACAAGAACTGTCAAAATGTATTTTCACGAATGGAAATGTTTTGTTTCCTCAACGGAGTGCAGGCGACAGTATAGTACTTGAAGTAATACTAGTGAGGACCCAGGTTCGATTCCAGCCTCAGGAGACAGTCTGTGTGGAGTTTGCACATTCTCCCTGTGTCTGCGTGGGTTTCCTCCCACAGTCCAAAGACGTGCAGGTCAGGGTGGATTGGCCATGCTAAATTGACCCATAGTGTCCAGGGCATGTGCAGGCTAGGTGGGTTAGCCATGGGAAACACAGGGTTACAGAGATAGTGTCGGGTGCTGGATCTGAGCGGGATGCTCCTCTTTGGAGGGTCAGTGTGGACTCGATGGGCTGAATAACCTCTTTCCGCACTGTAGCGATTGTACGATTCGTCCTGCGTGGGTGGGGTGAGTGCATACTGGATGTGCAGGCATTGGCCGTGAATGGGGCAAGCGTGGAATAATAAGCTGGCATGATCTGGCACTAGAACAACATAGGATTATAAAGAGGGGCGACTGGCGGGCATTGAGTAATATGGATTGGTCTGGATGGGAAGCATCTCCACAGAAAGTTCCCGCAAAATTATAATGGTCGGATCATTAGTTTGTTGAGGGATAAACATTCTCCATGACAACCAGCAGAACTCCCTTGTTCTTCTTAGGAATAATGCCAGTGGGGGAGCTCTTGCTTCCACTTGAGAGGGGATGGTGGCTTGATTTGACATCTCAGCGCCCCGACAATGCAGCACTCTCTCCGTACTGCACTGGAGTCTCCATTTTGTACACTCACCTTTACTGGCTCCATCCCCGCCTCTTCGACCTGTTTGTTTCCTCTCCACCTATCCTCTCCTCTATCCCTCTTCTATCCGCCTCCCACTCTCTCCCTATTTATTTCAGAACCCCCTTCCCCTCCCCCTTTTCTGATGAAGAGTCTAGGCCCGAAACGTCAGCCTCTCTGCTCCTATGATGCTGCTTGGCCTGCTGTGTTCATCCAGCTCTGCACCTTGTTGTCTCGGATTCTCCAGCATCTGCAGTTCCTACTATCTCTGATCCACTTTATACACAAACAACTTTTCAGTTTACATGCAGGAAATACCTGCCCTTGGCAGATGAGGTACGAATGTCAAGCATTGTCAGCTTCAAAAAAGCAATTGGTTTTGCTCAAAAATAACAGTGGAAGTCATAAAGAAACTTGCATCCACATGTCAGTTCTGATGACGTGGTTTGTAACTGCGGCCTTATTGTACATTTCGAACCACGGAGATGTCACGGAAGAAATGAATGTTTCGCATCTCTGAAATTCTACATAAACCACACACACAGACTAATTCTCACCCACGGGGAGAACAAAGGGAACAGAAACAGGGCCATCATTAGACACAATGCTGTGCTTTGATGTAAAAGTGATAAAGGAAGTTTCACATGTGATTAACGATGATTGGATTAGAAAGGAGAGCTCAGAGGAGATTCCAAACTGAAGACGCAAATGTATTCCTTCTCAGAGGGGAATATCTCGGAATTCTCTATCCCAGAAACCTGTGGTGACGAGAAGTATTTAATGAGGAGGTAGATAGGCTTTTTCTCCCTGAAATCACAGAACGCCATTCAGCCCATCAAATCCACACCAACCCTCCAAACAGTATCACACCCAGACTCAGCGACCCCCCCCCCCTCACCTTATTCTCATAATTCCATGGCTAATCCTCATAGTCTGTACACTGGTGGACTGTGGGAGGAAACCCACACCGACACGTATAGTCCAGGCCACGTCAGGATGTCATGGGTTCCTTCCGAGGGATGGTTTGTGAACAGGTTATTCCTGCCAATAACCACTTAGTTGGTCATTATTAGACTCTTAATCCCTGAATCTTCTGCTGAATTCAACTTCCACCATCGGTCATGACTGGGTTCAAATCCACATCCTCAGAACATTACCTGTCGCTCAATTGCCAGTACAGTGATAATGCTACTAGACCGTCATCTCCCACTTGTATTTGTACAGTGCCTTCACATTGTTCAATAGCACAAGGGGCTTCACAGCGTTGTTATCAAATGCCGAGATGCATAAGGAGACGGAAATAGGGTAGGTTTGAAGGATTGTCTTTAAGAAACAGAGAGAGAGATAGAGAAGTTTCTGAAGAGAAATCCTGACTTTGGAGCCCAGCTGGATGATGGTACAGTGTGATTAAAATTGAGAAGCACAAAGGAAAAGGATGAGAATGAAGCAGAGTGACCACGGCAATCTTTGTTATCATCGAATGTAGTCTGGTGCAGAGGTCTGAAACTAAATATAGCTAGAGAACAGATGATGGTTATTACTTTACTTAAGGGATCATTGTGTGTGTGTGTGTGTGTGTTTATGCGTGTGGGTAGGTGGATGGGTGTGTGTGTGTGTGTGTGTGTGTCTTTGTGTGTGTGTGTGGGTGGATGGGGGTGTGTGTGTGTGGGTGTGTGGGCGGGTGTGTGTGAGTCTGTGTTGTGTGTGTCGGGTGTGTGTATGTCGGGTGTGTGTGTGCGCGTGTGTGTGCATGTGTGCGTGTGTGTGTCTGTGTCTGTGTTGTGCGCGTGTCGGGTGTATGTGTTGTGTGTGTGTCGGGTGTGTGTGTGAGCGCGTGTGTGTGTGAGCGCATGTGTGTGTGAGCGCATGTGTGTGTGAGCGTGTGTCTGTGTGTATGTATGTATGTTTGTGTGTTGTATGTGTGTGTGTGTATGTTTGTGTGTGTGTGTATGTATGTGTGTGTGTGTGTTTTGTGTGTGTGTGTGTGTGTGAGTGTGAGTGTGTGTGTGAGTGTGAGAGTGTGATTGTGTGTGTGTGTGTGAGTGTGTGTGTGTGTACGTATGTGTGCGTGTGTGTGAGTGTGAGTGAGGGTGAGTGTGAGTGTGAGTGTGAGTGTGAGTGTGAGAGTGTGATTGTGTGTGTGTGAGTGTGTGTGTGTGTGTGAGTGTGTGTGTGTGTGAGTGTGTGAGTGTGAGTGTGAGAGTGTGATTGTGTGTGTGTGAGTGTGTGTGTGTGTGAGTGTGTGAGTGTGTGTGTGTGAGTGTGTGAGTGTGTGTGAGTGTGAGTGAGTGTGAGTATGTGTGTGTGTGTGTGTGTGTCTGTGTCGTGGGTGGGGTAGGGTGGGTGGAGTGCAGAATCAGACAGCGGCTAACCCACCTAGTCTGCATGTTCATGGACACTATGAGCAATTTAGCATGGCCAATCCAGCTAGCTCGCAAACACAGACACAGGGAGAATGTGCAAACTCCACACAGGTAGTTGTAGTAATGCTTGAGTCTTATAAAAATCCAAAGAACTGCAGATGCTGTAAATCAGAAACGTAAATAAAAATTGCTGGGAAAACTCAGCAGGTTTGCCAGCAGCTGTGGAGAGAAATCAGAGTTACCGTTTTGGGTTGAGTGACTCTACTTCAGAACTGAGGAAGGGTCCCTCGACCCTAAACGTTAACTCTAATTTCTCTCCACAGCTGCTGGCAAACCTGCTGAGCTTTTCCAGCAACTTCTATTCATGTTAGACTCTTGTGGTGTGTCAGGTGAAATAAAACTCTAGGCTCTGTCGAACTGACCGTTAAACTCAAGTGTTTAACATTCAGGAGCTCACACTTTGTCATTTAACTTTGCCCAAAGTGTAGCAACTGAGAAGTGTGTTCTAGGAACTGGAAGCCACACAGGAGATTTTTATGGCAATATCATTCAGTTTATCATCTAAGCCCAATTGACGGATAGGCAGATGGGATCATGCCAAGCTTACCCAGTCCAGTCCACTTAAACCCCTGGTCCAATCCAAAAATGACTCATTCCCAGTGTCTGGGCGATAAATGTAGTTTTTTCAGTGCCACCTTGTCCAAAGAGAAAGTTTGAAAAATAGTTTCTGGTGCCAATTTTTGTTGGAAGGTTAGAAAGAAATTAATGTCAACAAAACATGACCAGAAACATGGGGAACGGATGTAGATTCATTATGTGGATTCAGTGTGAGTGCTTTTCAGATATAAGACAGATTTGTTGCATATAATGCACAGACATAAACCTACTTATCAATCAATTAATTTACCCAGAATCCAGTCAAATGAAATCTTCCACAAATTATTTTCTCACTTTATTTCCACCTACTTATTAAACTGGAAGGGTGTTCAGAAGAGATTTACCAGGGTTGGAGGGTTTGAGTTATAAGGAGAGGCTGGATAGGCTGGGACTTTTTTCGCTGGAGCGTGGGAGGTTGAGGGGTGGGCTGAGAAAGGTTCATAAAATCATGCAGGGTATAGATAAGGTAAATGGCAGGTGTTTTTCCCTAGGGTGGGGGCTTTCAACACAAACGGAGGCATATCTTTAAGGTGAGAAGAGGGAGATTTTAAAAAGCCATGAGGGGCAAGTTTTTTCACACAGAGAGTGGCTCATGTTTGGGATGAACTTCCTGAGGAAGTGGTGGATGTGGGTAGAGTTACAACGAGTAAAAGACATGTGGAAAGTACATGAATAAGAAATGTTGGAGGGATGTGGGCCAAGTGCAAGCAGGTGACACCAGTTTAGCTTGGGATTATGGTCAGCACAGACTGGTTGGACCGAAGGGTCTGTTCCCATGCTGTATATCTCTATCCCGTACTCCATGTGAAACGTTATCCCCATGATACACAACACCATAGAAAATCCGGCAGCATCTGTGAAGAAAAAAAATCAGAGTTAACGTTTCGGGTCCAGTGACCCTTCCTCAGAACAGAGGGTTCTGAGGAAGGGTCACTGGATCCGAAACGTTAACAGTGAGTTTTTCTTCACAGATGCTGCCAGACCTGCTGAGCTTTTCCAGCAACTTCTGTTTCTGTTCCTGATTTACAGCATCTGCAGTTCTTTTGGTTTTTTACCATAGAAAACCCACTCCCTCAAAAGATTGAATTCAAGCAAAGATTAATCATGGAGGCTAAACCATGGGAATGATATTTAACTACACATTACTGCAATGACTGGTACAAGTGTGGCCATGTGTGTGGAATATCTATCCTGGGATTCTCCAGTGCAATAACCTGAATTTATTTGACTCTCTCTCTTTTTTTCCCAGGGGAACAGTTCAGTTCCGGAGTATGATGATCCAACTTGCTCATTCATCAGCTTCTTCCGCGATTATAATGTGTGTGAAAAACTGCACAGCCAAGAGGACTTTGACTCTGAGCAGTATCTGAAGGTGAGAATTGGAAAAGGGAAATTGAAAGTACTTGGCCAACACAGTGTGGAGCTGGAGGAACACAGCAGGCCAGGCAGCGTCAGAGGAGCAGGAAAGTTGATATTTCAGGTTGTGACCCTTCTTCAGACCCGAAATGTCAGCTTTCCTGCTCCTCTGGTGCTGCCTGGCCTGCTGTGTTCCTCCAGCTCTACACTGTGTTATCTCTGACTCCAGCATCTGCAGTTCTTACTACCTTTGAACGTACTTGGGATGTTATTTCTGAAACTGTTTCAGCACAGAACTCGGATTTAGGGCCTCGCTTGTAATTTATTTTGTTTCACAAAAACCTTAAGGTTCACCAAAACCTAATTCCTTGCAAGTGGAGCCATAGGATAGTGAAGGTGGTGTTTGGTACACTTGCCTTTATTGGTCAGTGCATTGAGAATAGGAGTTGGGAGGTCATGTTTGCTAATATACAGGACATTGGTGAGGCCACTTTTGGAATATTGCATTCAATTCTGGTCTCCCTGCTACAGGAAAGATGTTGTGAAACTTGAAAGGGTTCAGAAAAGATTTACCAGGATGTTTCCAGGTTGGAGGGTTTGCGCTTTAGGGAGAGGCTGAATAGGCTGGGGTTCTTTTCCCTGGAGCATCGGAGGCTGAGGGGTGACCTTAGAGAGGTTTATAAAATCATGAGGGGCATGGATGGAGTGAATAATCAAAGTCTTTTGCCCCAGGGTGGGGGAGTCCGAAGGTAGAGGGCATGGGTTTAAGGTGAGAGGGGAAAGATTTAAACGGGACATAAGAGGCAACTTTTTCATGCAGAGGGTGGTGTGTGTGTGGAACAAGCTGCCAGAGGAAATGGTGGAGGCTGGTACAATTACAACATTTAAAAGGCATCTGGATCGGTACATGAATAGGAAGGGTTTAGAGGGATATGGGCCAAATGCTGGTAAAGGGGACTAGATTAATTTAGGATATCTGGTCACCATGGATAAGTTGGACTGATAGGTCTGTTTCAGTGCTGTAGAACTCTACAACTCTATGATTCAATTGTCTATTCATATGTCTTTCTATATCTTTAACCCTGATGTGCTTGTCGAAAGGTTTCAATGAATCTACACTCTGTCCCAAATCCTCCCACCAGCAAGTTCCAGTTTTGAATTGTGTGATTTCTCCTGAATTCCCAATTGGATTTATTAGTGACTGTCTTGTATCAATAACCTCTGATTCTAATCTTACCCATAAACAAACACATTTTCTCGGACTATGCTATCAAACACTTTCCTAATTACTTACATCGTTTTCATTCCCTGTCTTAATCAATATACTTTCTCCCTGTGTATTAATGCTTCTGAGAATGTAGCCATGGGGAGCATTCTATCAAATAATTTCTTTCATTTGTACATGGGATGTGGGTGTCACTGGCTGGCCATTATTTATTGTCCATCCCTAGTTGCCCCTTGAGAAGGTGAGCTGCTTTCTTGAACCGCTGCAGTCCATGCTGTAGGCAGACCCACAATGCCCTTAGGGAGGGAATTCCAGGATTGTGACCCAGCGACACTGAAGGAACTGCAATATATTTCCAAGTCAGGGTGGTGAGTGGCTTGGAGGGGAGGTGGTGTTCCCATGTATCTGCTGCCCCATGTCCTTCTAGATGTGAGTGGTTGTGGGTTTGGACGATGCTGTCTAAGGAAACTTGGTGAATTTCTGCAGTGCATCTTGTAGATAGTACACACTGCTGCTACCAACCATCAGTGGCGGAGGGAGTGGATGCTTGTGGATGTTGTGTCAATTAAGCGGCTGCTTTGTCCTAGATGGTGTCGAGCTTCTTGAGTGTTGTTGGGGCTACACTCATCAGGCAAGTGGGGAGTATTCCATCACACTCCTGACTTGTGCCTTGTAGATGGTGGACAGGATTTTGAGGAGTCAGGAGGTGAGTTACTCACCACAGTATTCCTAGCTTCTGATCGGCTCTTGTAGCCACAGTATTTATATGGCTAGCCCAGTTGAGTTTCTGGTCAATGGTAACCCCCAGGATGTTGATAGTGGGGGATTCAGTGACGGTAACTCCATTAAATGTTAAGGGGAGACAGTGATATCTCTTGCTGAGGATGGTATTTGTCTGGCATTAGTGTGGCATCAATGCTACTTGCCAACCGTCAACCCAAATCTGGATATTGTCCAAGTCTCTCTCGTCAAATTACAGGGAAATTGGCAAGAGCGTTTGTTTTAAATAAAGTAACCTTTACTGTCTTTTTTTAGGAAAAATGTTATCACCCAGAAGGTCGTGGGAATCTGGAACTCGCTACCTGTAATGGTGGTAGAGGCAGAAACGCTCATAACATTTAAGAAACCTTTAGACGTGCTCTTGCAATGGCAAGACTTACAAGGCTGTGGGCCAAAAGCTGGGAAATGGGATTAGAATAGACAGTGCAGGCTCGATGGGCCCAAGGCCCTTTTTCTGTGCTGTAGATCTCTGTGAATCTATGACTATCAGAAGCCTTGAAAAATCCAAAATTCCCTTGAACAAAGTACAAGGGAACAACTGAAAGTGCATGAATGGCAGGATATTGGGTAGTTTAGAAGAACAGAGGGATTGTGGGGTAATTGTGGGGCTTTCTCAAGGGCAGCTAGGGATGGGCAAGAAATGCTGACCAGCCAGCGACACCCACATCTCACAAATGAATAGAGAAAAAAAATTATTCACAGATCCCTGAAGTCAGCAGAACATGTGAATAGGGTGATAAAGAAGACACTTGGGACGCTTGCTTTCACCTGTCATTGTATACAGTATAAGAGCAAGGAGATAATGATGGAGTTGTACAGAGCATTGGTCAGGCCACAGTTGGAGTACCGTGTGTAGTTCTGGTCACCTCACTACAGGAAGGATATGACAGCATCAGAGGAGGTACAGAGGAAGTTCACCAGGATGTTGCCTGGGATGGAGAAATTGAGATATAAGGAGAGACTAGCTAGGTTTGGATTGTTTCCTTCAGAGCAGAGAAGACTGAGGGGGATGTGATTGAAGTCTGTAAGTTTATGAGCGATACGGACAGGCTGAGTAGCGAACAGCTTTCCCCCTTAGTTGAGGAGTCAAGCATGGAGGGTATTGTTTTAGGGTAAGGGACAAAGAGAGTCACAGGGGATTTGGGAAAAAAAAACTCTTTCACTCAGCGGGTGGTGAGAATTTGAAATGCACTGCCTGGGAATGTAGTGGAGGCTGGAAACCTTACTACCTTTAAAAAATATTGGGAAGAATACTTCAAATATCGTAACATTCAACGATATGGGACAAGCGCAGGAAACTGGGATTTATGTACTGTTGGTGGTAGTTATGTTGGTGCAGACTCAATGGGCTGAAGGGCCTTTTCTGTGCTGTATGGCTCTATGTCAGTTGCAAGGCTGAGATTGATGGGTTAGAGAAGTGAAGCGTATGGAGCAAAGGGAAGGAACAGAGTTGAAACACAGATCAGTTGGAACTGAATATTTCAGGCAGTTGAATAGACTCCTCTTCTCAAAGTTTATAACCACCAGAAATCTCGACCTCTTTCTAATCCAACTCATCGCTGCCCAATCCGACCAACCTCCTGTTAGTCAAGCAGACTCCCCTCTCTCTGAATAATTACCGTTTCCATTGTCTTACTTGACATCTCCAAAGGCTCTGACATAGCTCAGACAGAATTCCACCCTTCCTTTCGCACCATACTTTCGCTTTTTAATGCAAATCCATTTCAGTGCAGAGTCACAGTGTGACTCCACAATCGGTTGCCCCTAGATTGAATGAATTGTAGCCGCACTCATGGGCCTGTTTCAATCCTGCAGAACCTCACTTCGTTGACAGGGGAGCTTCTGAGAAACCAATCCCTTCTGGAAAATCTGGGAGCGCAGAATCGACAGAGAGCCCTGGAGGTGTCCTTACAGACCATGGAAAATTCAGTGATAGCTTTCGCATACACACTCAGTGATCAGGAAAAGAAAAACATGTCATTTGGAAATATCGGTAAGAAACCCAGCGAGTGACACCAAGGGAAAAGAAATAATTGGAAATGAACGTATTGGGCCTCTATCTTAGGAACAGGCCATTCAGCACCTCAAGCCTGTTCTGCCTTTCAACAAGATCATAGAATCCCTGCAGCGCACATAGCAACCAGTCTACCCTTTAAGTCTGTGCTGACCCTCAGACTAGCATCCCCCCCCATCCCCACAGTTTTTAACCAAGGCTAATCCACCTAACCTACACATCTCTGGATTGTGGGAGGAAACCAGAGCACCCAGATGAAAGAGCAAACTCCACGCAGATAGTCATCCCAAGGCTGGAATCAAACCCAGGTTCCTAGCGCTGTGAGGCACCAGTGCTAACCACTGAGCCACCCACCCACTGTGCTGGCCTGGTGGCTGATCTGTGGCCTAATCCCACATCCTTGCCTTTAGCCCATATCCCTTAACACCTTTACTTAATAAAAGTTTATCAAACTCAGGTTTAAAACTGAACCAGCATCCAATGCTGTTTGTGATTTAGAGTTAACCATTTCAGGAACAGAAAGGCATCTCGCCAGTTCTTCAAAATGCCACTGTGGGCTCATGTCCACCTGTTCAGGATGGCCTCAGTCTAACATAGAGATAAAAACCTGATTAGCCATAGTTTAATTGATTGACTAGTACAGGTTCAAAGGGCTGAAAGTCCTCCTCTTCAGTCTTTCCCTGGGTCCGGCACATTTATTAGGATAGTGCCGGGACACGGCATTGAGCCAAAAGATCGACCATGATCTCGTTGGATGACGGAGGAGGTGCGATGGCCTACCCTTTTTCCTATTGCCTCTAGCATGGTGAAAATTGGTCCAATTCTCATAAAGGGAAGATCTTTTAGCTGGAGAGGGCTCTGAGCTGTGTCTGTTACACCTCACTGCTCCCTGCTGTGCTGCCGTAAACATTTACCAGTCTTTGTCCTTTCCTTAGAGGTTCAAATGGAGGTGATACGAGGGCGTAACTTCTCAGACGAGGAAACTGCATCACTGTCGGCAAAGGGGAACCAGATGGATATCCACTGGCGGGCGGTCACTGACGGAGAGGATCCTGGTAAATCCCTCATCTTGGTCCCTCAATAACTGTCTAATACCATAACAGCCAGTCATCATCTCACTGATGTACACTCTATGGCAACGCCTCTACAAAAGTCCATGTACCAACTAGTCAGCACTCTCTTCCCAAATAGCATTTAATGTTGTTGCCCTTTATATGGTGTTTTTGCAAATTGTCCTGATGGGGAAGACATTCAAACAAAATGTGTCCCTTTAAGTTGGTGTTCTTGCAAATTGTCCTGATGGGGAAGACATTCAAATGAAATGTGTCATTTTAAATTGGTATTCTTGCAAATTGTCCTACTGAGGAAGACATTCAAACAAAATGTGTCCCTTCAAATTGGAGTTCTTGCAAATTGTCCTGACAAGGTAAATGTTCCCACAAAATGTGCCCTTTTAAATTGGTGCTGTTGCAAACTGGTCTGATGAGGAAAACGTATCAACAAAATATCTTCTGTTTCACCAATAGTCAAGTTCTGTGTTGCCAAACGATGATTAATCTCAACTATTTGCACCTGGGGTTATACCACTCACTCATCGGGGAATTTGGCAGGATCTGGGCACATTTTTGCTCCACTGAGATCGATAGGCGACCCAATCCTATGGGTTTCTGTTTGAAGCATTCAATCAAAAGTTTCCATTCGTACGTGGAATTTGCACTTACGCTGATGGCTTTCCAGTCAGTTTTGTATCCAAGGCTGTATAATCCCCCTCAGACCCATTGTCTCACTACCAGGCACACCAACATATAGACTAGCCAAAGAACTACAACAGAAATTGAAATACTTAGTGGACAACACTGCCCACTCCATCCACTCATCCCAAGAATTCCTCAACATCATCGAGGACACCAGGATAGAAAAGTAAGCAGACAACCCAGGACAACATCAACAACATCAATAAGGACACCATTATGAAACTATTAGATCTGTGCCTCATAACCCACTTCACCTTCACGACAACATAAACAAACAAATCAACAGAACACCGATGGGATCCCCAATATCAGGACTGATTGCAGAAGCAGTAATGCAAAGGTTAGAATGGACAGCGCTCCCCACTATACAGTCCTAACTCTGGGTCCACTATGGAGATGACACCTTTGCGATTATCAAACGCACGAAAATAGAAGAAACCCACTGACATTTACACAACATTCTCGCCAGGATAAAATTCACAAAAGGAGAACAATGACTGACTACCCTTCCTGGACACAATGGTAGAACACAAAAACAACGGGGATACTCCAGATTAGCATCTACAGAAAGCCCACACAGACAGAACAGATACTCAACCACCCCAACACCCACAAAAGGAGCTGCATCAGGGCATTATTTAAATGAGCCACAACACATTATAGCAACCCGGAATTGTGTAAAGCAGCACAGTCTTCAAAAGAAATGGACACCCAAAAAGCACAATCTGCTGTTACATTCGAGACAGACCACAACAGGAAGACACAACAAGACCGGGGACACATCAGAGATGACATCAAGACTACTTAGATCCCTAAGTTTCAGAGTAGCCCACAAACCAACCACCACCCTGCAACAGCTACTGATGAACATAAAGGATCCCATACCCAAAACCAGCAAAACTGGGGTAACATACAAAACATCATGCAAGGACTGTGAGAAACATTACATAGGCCAAACTGGAAGAAAATTAACAATACAGATACACAAACACCAACTAGCCACCAAGAGACACGACCAATTCTCACTTGTCCCACTACACACGGACAATGAGGGACACAAATTCAACTGGGACAACACATCCATAATCACACAAGCCAAACAGAGACATGCCAGGGAATTCCTGGAGGCCTGGTATTCCAACCAGAACTCCAACAACAAACACATTGAACTAGACCCTGCACCGGAGGTGCACTGATGGTGTTAACTAGCAGGGCAATGAAAAGCTTGCAACCAAACCCACCAGCTCAGTGAGCAGGCCTACAACCTCAGTTACAAAGATTCATTTTCTTTACTCTATCATGGGATGTGGGCGCTACTAGCAAGGCCAACACTTGTTGCCCTCCCTAATTGCCCTCCAACTGAGTGGCCCAGGCCATTTCAGGGGGAAATTAAGAGTCATCCTCGTTGCTGTGGGTCTGGAGTCACATGTAAGCTAGATGGGCAAAGATGCCAGATTTCCTTCCTTAAAGGACATTAGCAATGTCCGGGGCAGAATCGCCAAAACAAGACACAAAAAAGTTGTGTGGAAACGAAGGGAGCTAAGTACATTAAAATGTGGTTGAAATAAGAGAAAATGCACTCCAGTCTCCACAGTGCTCACGTCTCTCTAAAAGCCTCACAGGTAGTGGTGGAAACCATGGGCTCCCCATCCAAAGACAACCAGACGTGAACGTAGCTGCGGAAGAGGAACAGGCAGTTGGGAATCGCACCCCCTTCCCCTCTACCCCATCCCTTCCCCAGGGCCTACTAGCTTGCCCATTTTGACTAGGCCCAGGGGCAAGGTTACAAAAGGGTCCCTTTGACTTTTCACTCTCCCTCCTCATGAGGCGCTCAAAAATCAGCAGCATGGGGCTGAAATGCAATCAAAAATGAAACAGCATGTTTTTGTAAATAAAAGAACTCAAATTGTTTTCTAAAAAAAGGAAATCTGTTCAGAGATGCTAATGCACACCACTGTATAATGTCCTTCAACACCAACAAGTCAATTCACAAACATTATCCACAGGGGCAAGCTCAATTCTTTTAGGTATTTTCCAAATTAACCTGTTTAGAGATGTTATCACATACCTCTATAGGAGGTGGGATTGGAACCCTGGCCTCCTGGCTCAGGGGCAGGGACATCACCACTGTGCCACAAGAGTCCAACTTTGCCAAGAAAAGGAATGGCATTCCTTGGGTCTCGTGCCTTAGACCCATCCTGCAAAGATCCAATGAGCAACCTCCGCTCTCAATCAACTCTGGGAGTGATCTCTTTGAGCCTGAATTGCTAACTCTGTCGCTCCAGGCCCACCCATCGTCCTGGCAAATCTCCAACAGGCTGGTACGAGGGCCCTGGCAGGCTTGTAGGTAACTGAATGTTCCAAGGACGCAAACAGAGCTTATCTCTGAACTTTGCTACTTCTGTGGCCAGCTGCGGAAGGCTCACCTATGTGACACCTCAATCACCTGGGAAGATGCGGTCACCCACTTGCACAAGGTAATGAGGATTCCTGTCAAGAACTGCTGTTAGGTGATGTTGATCAACATTGACCAAGACAGCCACGTAGGGCTTGGGGCACTTTATTCTTTATTCATATTTTATTCACACTTTCAGCCTTTATTCCATGATCTGGTCCCCGGTGTGGGGCTTAATCCCAGAGCATTGTGACTCTTGAGACAAGAGTGCTACCATGATTAACAACCGAGAGAGACTGATAGAAAGAGGCTTCAAAAGAGAGGCAGACAGACAGACTGACAGACAGATACAGAGTAGGTGGCAATATGGAGAATGAGTGAGAGAAAGAAATTTTGAGGAGCCAGCAATGAAAAAAAGGTTATCTGAGATTACAAAGAGATCTTGATCAATTGAGTCAATGGGCTGAGGAGTGGCAGATGGAGTTTAATTTGGATATTGTATTTTGATAAAAACAAATAAAGGCAGGACTTATACAATTAATGGTAGGGCCCTGGGTAGTGTTGTAGAAGAAAAACTAGGGGGCTATATTTTTAAGGTGAGAAGAGAAAGGTTTGGAGGGATATGGGCCAAATGCAGGAAAGTGGTACCAGTTTAGTTTGGGAACATGGTTGGCATGGCATGGTCGGACCAAAGGGTCTGTTTCCATGCTGTTTGCCTCTATGACTCTCGTCTCCTTTGCTATTCTCTGAAATAGGGCCATGGAATCTTGTTATGGACAAAGACTTGCCCGTGAAGCCAGTGTTGTAGTGTTGAGGTGTAGTAAAGCAGCAGCCAATCACTGAACAGAAATCTCCGATTGACATCTGTAGCTTGACCAAGTGGATTCTACAATGTTCCGTGAGGGCTAAACATTGGCCGGAAAAAAATCCGAGAGGTTTCTAATTTATCACAGACACACCAGCTTGAGAACTTTCAGCTTTGTGAGCTTGGACGGTGGAGATATGTTTTTAATCAGGTCAGAGCTGGGGACTGGGCCATTTTCTCAGTTCCACTTTGATTAGGATATCATGAGACATAGGAGCAGACTGTAGAAAATAGGGGCAGGGGGAAGCTATTCAGGCCTCTCGGGCCTACTCCACTGTTCAATAACATCATGGCTGATCTGTCCATTTCTCTTTTGTGCCAGCTTCTCAGAAAGGCGAATGTTCAGCCACAACATTTCCTACATCTATTACCTTTTCCCATTCAGTTTAACGGCACAAGCCTTTTTCTGTAGGCCTGGGAAAGGCTCGTCTGGGGTACGCGAATGGTTGTGGAGTCCTGGGGTTGGTGGGGAGCTGTTGCTACGGTAACCGTGCAGCTGGGAAAGTTGACCGCTCGCTCCACCTCGGCAGGTTTTGCCGGCGTTGCGCTCATCGCCTTCTCTGAGATGGACACGGTGCTGAATGGTTCCCTGGATAGCAAAGAGGATGGTAGCCTACGGCTGAATTCCCATGTTCTGACCGTCACCTCCACCCGCAAGAACGGCCAGGCCCTCATCGAGCCCATCAACGTCACCTTCCGCAACGCGAGGGTGAGTGAGACGCCGGCGCTGGCTGAGAAAACAGGCCGCTTGGCCCATTTGACCATTGCTAGCCTTTACAGAACATCTGTCATGTGATTGGCAGGTCCTTTCAGATGTCTTCCCCAGAACTGAGGTAGAATCATAGAATCCCCACAGGTCATTTGGCCCATAAAATCCACTCCAACCTTCCATCCTGCTCAGACCCACCCCCTCTCACCCTGTAATGCTGCATTTCCCACGGCCAACCAACCTAGTCTACAGAATTAGGGGGCATATTTTTAAGGTGAGAGGAGAAAGGCTTGGACGGATATGGGCCAAATGCAGGAAAGTGGTACCAGTTTAGTTTGGGAACATGGTTGGCATGGACTGGTTGGACCGAAGAGTATGTTTCCATGCTGTTTGCCTCTATGACTCTACGTTTCCTTTGCTATTCTCTGAAATAGGGCCGTGGAATCTTGTTATGGACAAAGACTTGCCCATGAAGCCAGTGTTATAGTGTAGTTGTAGACAATTTAGCATGGCCAATCCACACCCACAGACTGTGGGAGGCAACCCACGCAGACACGGAAAATGTGCAAACGCCACACTGACAGTCGCCCGAGGTTTGGAATCGAACCCGGGTCCCTGGCGCTATGAGGCAGCAGTGCTAACCACTGATCCACCGTGCCACCCAGGTAACATGCTGTGAATTGGGCATCACTATTCCCGGAGTCTTGCCAAATGTCGGAGAGGTTTTTTAAGGTGTGGCCAGAACCCCAGTTTGCCTTCGATAGAAAGGACAGACCAGGTTTCTGTACTGAACAAGAATTGTTATTTATGATGAGTGATTGGACTGTACTTGCAAGTGAGCAAAGATAAACTACGAGCTTATAACATGCCTAACCCTTTAATCTCCTCATAAACTCCCCCGATGCACAAACAGACAAACAACTGGGGAAAATAGATCATTGGCAGAGGTGGAACAAGACTAGAAAGTCAGTCCCATGGTCTTCTGGCATCAGGAAATGGGTCATTGCCCCCAGAAAAGAGAAAGCTGAATGGCAACTGAACTAACTGCATGGCTCCCTCAGATCCAGCTCCCAAATTGAACAGAACCTCTGACCCAGAGATAGTAAGACCTGCCGATGCTGGAGTCAGAGATAACACAGTGTGGAGCTGGAGGAACACAGCAGGCCAGGCAGCATCAGAGGAGTAAGAAAGGTGATGTTTCGGGGTTAGGGTTAGGGGCCTTCTTCCTCTGACCCTCCTGTTTATATCTGTCAGTCAGGGCTCCCTGATTGGACCAGGTTAACAGCCCCAATCAGGGAACTCATACTCTGTGAGGTCCACCTGGCCGACCTCATTACAATCCCTACAGAGATGACCCTACTTCAACTAAGCAGACCCTCCACACAGCTCCTGTTGGATAAAGTGTGCAAAAGAGGATCAGATTGAACTAAAAATGAACAAACTGCAGGCACAATTCCAAAATCCAGCTACAGCCATAAACACCCTTGCTCCACCCTTTACTTATTTTCTTTTCCAATATCCACCTCCACTTGCCTGAGACTGTTCCCTGGCCCATTTTTACACCTCCACCCTTTTCATTCTCTCCTGTACCTATGATAGACCATCCCTTTGGATCTTTCCCAAATGTTGCATACCACAGGATGACACGGTGGCTCATTGGTTAGCACTAGGGCACCAGGGACCAGGGTTCAATTCCACCCTCGGGCGACTGTCTGTGTGGAGTTTGCATGTTCTCCCCGTGTCTGTGTGGGTTTCCTCCGGGTGCTCTGGTTTCCTCCCACAGCCCAAAGGTGTGCAGACAAGGTAGATGGGTCATGGGAAAGTATCCCACGATGTGCAGACTAGGGGTATTCACCATAGGGAATGCAGGATTATTGGGTAGAGGTGTGTGGGTCTGGCTAGCATGCTCTCCAGAGGATCGGTGCAAAGTCAGTGGGCTGTACGGCCGCTATATGCACTTATAGGGATTCTATGATTCTTAAGACATCTCCTTCCAGTCATGAAAAAATATCATCAACCTAAAAAATGAACTCTTTCTCTCTCACTCCCTGTTGAGTAATTCCACCCATTTCTGCACTTACTTGGGGTAACAATCACTCACTGTTACAACGCATATGAACAGCCCCTTGTCTGGACTCAAGATGACAGGCATCATCTAAATGTAAGATCATAAGAAATAGGAGGTCACACAGAGATTGCTGTACCATTTCTGAAAGACCATAGTCTTTTACAGGACATTGGTGAGGCCACTTTTGGAATACTGTACTCAGTTCTGGTCTCCCTGCTATAGGAAGGATGTTATTAAACTCGAAAGGGTTCAGAGAAGATTTAGAAGGATGTTGCCAGGGTTGGAGGGTTTGAACTATAGGGAGAGGCTGATTCGGCTGGGGCTATTTTCCCTGGAGTGTTGGGACTGAGGGGTGACTTTATAGAGGTTTATAAAATCATTAGGGGCCTGGATAGGGTGAATAGCCAAGGTCTTTTCCCCAGAGTAGGGGAGTCCAAAAGTAGAGGGCATAGGTTTAAGGTGAGAGGGGAAAGGTTTAAAAGGGACCTAAGGGGCAACTTTTTCACACAGAGGGTGGTGCATGTATGGAATGAGTTGGTCAAGGAGGTGGTGGAAGCTGGTACAATTACAACATTTAAAAGGCATTTGAATGGGTACATGAACAGGAAGGGTTTAGAGGGATCTGGGCCAAATGCTGGCAAATGGGACTAGATTTATTCGGCTATCTGGTCAGCATGGACTGGTTTGACTAAAGGGTCTGTTTCTGAGCCTTACATCTGTATGGTTCTATGACTCTAGTGATCTTCCAGCTCACTGTCAAACCCTGTTTCCCTTAAATTCCAAGGACCTTGATTTCTGTTTTGAATGGGAGAGCTGAGGCACACCTTTGTGAGGAAGAAAATTCCAAGGGGGTTTACACACACTTAAGTTTCTCCTTATCTCAGTCCTGAATGGCTGAACGCTTATCCAGAGACAATGACGCCGAGACTTCCAGAGTCGTCCTGTTTGCCTTTTAATCTCTCCCGGTGACTGCTATAACACAGCATCCCCTTTGTTCTCTCGCATGCCCCCAACACCCCACTTCCTCCGCTTCCCTTAAAATATTTCCTCTTCTTCCTGATGAAGCTGAAGATTGACAACCAGAATCATTATCCCTTTCCTCTTCAAGGTAAGTGGTTTCTCAATCTCCATCCTATCAAATCTTTGCAGAATATAATACGTTTCAGTGGGTTTGCCTCTCATTTCCAAAGTGCAGCTGTTACACAAGCAGACCCCGTGTTGGGGAGTTCCGTAAGCTTTTTCTGTTCAGCTTCTCCTCTGTGCCCAACACTGAATTTGTTGCAAACACAGAGAACGCTAAAGAAACTCAGCAGGTCTGGCATGCATCTGTGAAGACAGAAGCAGAGTTAGCATTTCGAGTCTGGTATGACTTTTCAAAAGAACTTAGAGGCTTATATTGGACTCGAAGCATTAACTGCGTTTCTCTCTCCACAGACGTCGCTAAGCCTGTTGTGTGTCTGCACCATTCTCCATGTTTGTTTCAGATTTCCAGTGTCTGTGATATTTTGTTTATATTTGGGTTGCCTCATTAAAACTGGGCAAAGCTGGTGTACAATCTCCCTACATTTACATTCCACTCCATTGCAGTTATAATGACATTCTTAATGACTTTCTGTATCTGCGTACTAACTTTAAGATTTACGTGACTGGGACATGCAGATACCTCTATACCATTAGGTTCTGCATCCTGTCTCCAGTTAAACAATGTACTGCTTTTCCATTTTCTTCACCAGAATGGAGAAGTCACATTTCTCCAGGTTATACACCAGCTGCCACATTTTTCCCACTCCCTTAACCTGTCTCTATTCCTTTGCAGACTCTCTACCTCCCCTTCACAACTTACATTCCTACCTGTCTCAGAGTCATCAACAAATGGAGCTACCGTACATTTGGCCGCGTTATCCAAATCATTGACACAGATTGTAAATACGTGAGGAGTCAGCATTTGCTGCCTATGGCTCTCCATTCATTATAGCTCCCCCAATCTGAAACAGTCCACCCAACCACACTGTTTCCTGTTGGGCAACCAATCTGTTCGGCCTGATGACCCACTAGTCCTTGCAACAAGTGCTTTTACTTTGTGTAGCAACCTTTGATATGGTACCTTATCAGCTGACCAATACAGGACACCCCCACTTCTGTTCATTTCATCAGGATTTCGTGCCCGCCCCACAACATTGCCTTAACAACTGGAGGAAAGGCAGATGGTTTTGCTGTTCAGAGAGTAAGATAGTGTGGAGATATGCTGCTGCTGCTAAGGCAGGGCCTTTGTTTAAGGAGGCAGCTCAATGGCTGGTTCTATTGAACAAAGCCTAAAACCTGACCGCTGAGAGCTTTATAAAATCACGAGGGGTGTAGATAAAGTTAATAGCGAGGGTCTTTTCCCTGGGGTGGGGGAGTTCGTGACTAAGGGGCACGTTTTTTTAAAAGGTGAGAGGAGAAAATTTGAAAAAGGACATGAGAGGCAACTCTTTACACAAAGTGTGCGGAATGAAGTGCCAGAGGAAGTGGTGATGTGGGTACAGTTAAAACATTTAAAAGACATTTAGATAAGTACATGAACAGGAAAGCCTTGGAGGGATATGGGCCAAACACATGCAGGTGGGACTGGTTCAGTTTTGGAAGATGGTCGGTGTGAACTAGTTGGACCCAGAGGGTCGTTTTCCATGTTGTGTGACTATTTGACTCTTTAATATATTCTTGATCCAGGAGAAGAAACCTCGAGTCCAAGTTGTCTGCGTCTCCTTGAACCGCACGCGAAGCGGAAACCATTGGTCCCGAGTAGGCTGCACTGTGGTAAAGTCTAACACGACACACACGACCTGCATGTGCACACACCTAACCAGCTTCGCTGTGCTTATGGCACTGTATGAGATCCAGGTACAGTACACCACAAAACAGAACCAACTGAAAGACAGTACGAACTGCCGATGCTGGAGTCAGAGATAACACGGTGTGGAGCTGGAGGAACACAGCAGGCCAGGCAGCATCAGAGGAACAGGAAAGCTGACTTTTCAGGTCAGGACCCGGGTCCTTTCCTGCTCCTCCGATGCTGCCTGGCCTGCTGTGTGCCTCCAGAACTGAAAGCTGCATGTTAGTAAGATTTCTGACGGTTTAGGAATGAATTGCCCTTGGCATTGTTCATGATCTGTTGATTAACTGCACGTGATAATGCACAAAATGATGATAGAGGTAGCAGAATCTCACTATGTACACCACTTACCAGGCAGAGTGTGTAACGGCACTGTTACAAGCAACTGTTCACATACACAATCTCTATTCTCAAAGTTAATATGGGTGCTTTCAGTGTTAGTTGTTGGCATGACCCACAAACCATGACAATGGAAGGTTGAGCAGAATGTGTGAATGGACTTGCTCAAGATGTGTTAGTCATAAACTCATAGCTTCATAGCATCATAGAGTCATACACCATGGAAACAGACGCTTCAGTCCAACCAGTCCATGCTGACCATAATCCCACTAGTCCCACCTGCCTGCTCGTGGCCCATATCCCTCCAAACCTTCTCTATTCATGCACTTATTCAAATGTCTTTTAAACATTGTAACTGTACCCACATCCACCACTTCCTCTGTAAATTCATTCCACAAGTGAACCACCCTCTGCGTAAAAAAATTGCTTCTCTTGTCTTTTTTCATTCTCCCCTCACCTTAAAAATGTCCCCCGTAGTGTTGAAATCCCCCACCCCAGAGAAAAGACTAATAGCTCTATCTATGCATCTGATTATTTTATAAACTTCTGTAAGATTGCCTCTTAACCTCCTACACTCTAATGAAAAAAGTCCCAGCCTATCCAGCCTTTTTTTATAACTCAAACATTCCATACCCAGCAACATCCTGGTAAATCTCTTCAGTATAGTGTTCACACTGCTGGATGAATATAGGGAAAGTGATTGCTACTCTTTGTGTTATTCTGCCATTATTTGTTAAAGCTGTTGGCTCTTTCAACTACTCCACATGTCCTTCAGTATGTTTCCCCAAGCTCTCATCCCTCTGTAAGATGCTAGATTGTGACTCTCTCTATCTCTGTCTTTCTCTGTCTCTCCCTTCTCTCTCTCTCTGTCTCTCTCTTGTCTTTCTCCTCTCTCTCTTTCTCCTCTCGTCCTTCTCTCTCTCTCCTCTCTCCTAACTCTCTCGCCTCTCTCTCACTTTCTCCTTTCTCTCTTTCCTCTCTCTGTCTCTCTCTCTCTCATCTTTCTCCTCTCTCCCTTCTTTCTCTCTCCTCTCCCTCTTTCTCCTTTCTCTCTCTTCTCTTTCTCCTCTCTTCCCTCTTTCTGTCTCTCTTTCTCCTTCTCCTCTCTCCCTTGTTTCTCTCGCCTTCCCCTTCCCCCACCCTTTCCTATCTCTCTCACTTTCATGTATCTCTCTTTCCTCTCTCTCCTCCTTCTCTCCTTTTTCTCTCTTGTCTGTCTCTCTCCATTTCCCATGTGAGTGTCCACCACTCCACCCCCACCCGCACTGTCCCATTTGGCAATCCATTTCGAAGGGATGGTTTCCAGTTAGTTCCCCTATCCTGCATTGCCTGCTTATTTACGTCTTGTGTACCTCAGAACTGGAGCCTGTCATCAAAAGTGTTTGAAGAACATGACTGTGATACCTTTGGCAGGAACTTTCTTGCTTTTCCGTGGCTTCTCGTCTAGCCCCTGGTCTGTAAGACATTTGAAGAGTCACAAGTGCACTACGGATGAGTAAGTTGTTGTTGGTGGGCTATCCAGCAATGAAGGCATCACAATTGCAGCCAACCATGTTGCCTACCCAATAGCTAGGTTGAATGTTGCTGAATAAGAGCAAAAATAGAGCTCATGTTTGATAACCCCTTGATAATGGAGTGATTAAAACCCATTGCAAACTCTCAATAAATGTTGCAACAGGCACATAGATGGTGATATCTTTACACCAGTGGGTCTCTATACCAGCACGAAATCTCCAAGTCACTGGTTTAAATCAGAGTATTGTGGACCCAGTGAAGATTCACTAGCTGAGGTTGGACCTGAAGTGCTTGTATTTTGAATGAAACTTGCATAGGTCACGACTGGCAAAACAATGAGGATTGCGAGACATAAAACAAGATGAACCAAAGAGAAGTGGTCAGCAATTTGATGTGGGCACTGAAGCATAAGGTGGATATTAGGTGTTTATGCTGACCATTTCTCGTCCTGCAGGATCCCTGGCATCTGCTGAACCTCAGTCTGATGTCATACATAGGAATAAGCATCTCTCTCGTGTGTCTCATCATTTCTTTCATCACGTTCCTGGCATGCCGGGCAATTCAAGGCACTCGTACTACCATCCATGCCCACCTGTGCCTGTGTCTGTTCCTAGCAGAGCTCCTGTTCCTCGTTGGCATCTCCCAAACCAATCACCAGGTGAGCCATTGCTCTGTATCAGCGTCTTGTTATCATTGTAATATCGGTGAACGCCAGACTATCTGACCCAGGTGCCTAATGCTATAATTGATGCACAAGACTGTAAGACATAGGAGCAGAAGTAGGCCATTCAGCCCATTCATACTGATCTACCATTCATTGAAATCATGGCTGATCTGATAATCTTCAACTCCACTTTCCTGCCTTTTCCCCATAACCTTTAATTTCCTTACTGGTTAAAAGTCTGTCACAGTCTGAAATATACTTAATTGGCCCAGGCTCTACAGCCCTCTGCAGTAAAGAATTCCAAAGATTTGCTACTTTCTGAGAGGAGAAATTCCTCCTGATCTCTGTATTAAATGGGCAACTCTTATGCCACAAGGGGAAACAACCTTTCCACATCTGCTCTGTCAAGTCCCCAAAGAATTTGTGTGGTTCAGTAAGGTTGCCTCTCGTTCTTCTAAACTCCAATGAATACAGGCCCAACCTACTCAACTTCTCCTCATAAGATAGTCCTTCCACCCCTCAGCTCAGTGGACTATCTCTGGACTGCCTCCAATATCAGTCTATCTTTCCTTTGATAAGGAGACCAAAACTGTTCACGCTATTCCAACTGTGGTCTGACTAGAACCATGTCTATTTTTACCAAGACCTCCCTACTTTTATTCTCACTTGTGATTGTCTGCCCGATAATGGCTGGGTTTGAGTTGGTGCGAAGAAATGTTGCACTGGGCATCCCATTCTCGAGACAATCTAGAATGTTTGTAGTGTTCCTAACGTTAGAGAGAGTCGCTGAAAGGCCCGTGGAGATGGAATCCAGCAGAGCTGCAGAGGGACGTGTTGTCATTCTGAGACCAGAGCATGGGCATGTTTCAATTGGGGTGAGGGGAGTTTAAGAAGGGGGTAAGTTTGTCATGGCTTGGGCCATGATGAGCAAATGGCCATATCGAGGGATGGACCCCTGCTGAAACCTTATCAGAAAATGGGAGCCAAATTGAGAGGGTATTTTCGAGATTACAGGTCATTTGCAATTGCCAAAGGGGCAAAGAGAACAGAAAATTTAACACATGGGTGATGGAGTGATGTAGGAAAGGGAGGCTCTGTTCCATAGGACACTGGCATTCGGGTCAAGATGAGAAAACATTCGTACTACTGAGAGGGAAATGTAACTGAACCAAACTGGGACCATGGGACCATGTCTTTTGTTGTGGAGCAGACCAAACCCCCTGAAAATCTTCAGAAGATTGTCTAAACCCTAACGTTTTTTTATTTTAAAGGTAAATGCAAGGTGTCGCATTCCAGACGTGATTCAATTGGCAAAACTACTGGATTTAAAGCAAAACATACTTTATTCATCCCCCATGTTAAAATACAACAAAACAAAGAAGGAGATAGTAGGAACTGCCGATGCTGGAGAATCTGAGATAACAAGGCGTAGAGCTGGATGAACACAGCAGGCCAAGCATCATCAGAGGAGCAGGAAAGCTGACGCCAGACCTGAAACATCAGCTTTCCTACTCCTCTGATGCTGCTTGGCCTGCTGTGTTCATCCAGCTTGACACCTTGTTAAAACAAAGAAGGAATTTGAATAATAACCCTATTGGGAAACTTAACAGAATACTAGATACGGTAACTTACTAATTAATTGTTCCAATATAGTAACATCCCGTAAACACATCCTAGGCAAAAAAAAATGCAAATTCAGAAAACAAATTATCTCACACGCAACTCCAGCAGCCCAGGAGGTAAAATAAAACATCAGGAGAAAATTATGGGAGTGTAGCAGCGGGGAGAGATTTTTGGCAGCTTCCAACCATGCTGAGACTTAAACAACAACTGCTGAAAGCTATAAACTAAAAATCCTGGTTATGTGAGAGCTTGACCACACCCATTCAGGCTGCTTCTATTGTTCCAACTTTGACAAAAAACCCCAAGGCCTCACAAGCTGTTTACTGTAGTGGCTCTGGTAGTCTGCTCGGTGTCTCTGTCTTAAAACCTCTCTGCAACATAAAAAGGACAAAATACACCTCTTAAAGTTACAGTATGGCCACACTTCATTGAAAGGGCTATAGAAAGGAATTCTCACCGATGATGGTGAGGCTTATTAAGTCATGGAGTCATAGAGAGTCATGGAGACACACAGCACAGAAACAGACCCTTTGGTCCAACCAGTCAATGACAACCAGTTATCCTAAATTAATCGAGACCCATTTGCCAGTGTTTGGCCCATATTGTTCTAAACCCTTCCTATTCATGTATCCATCCAGATGCCTTTTAAATGTTGTAATTGTACCAGCCTGCACCACCTCCTCTGGCAGCTCATTCCATACACACACCACCCTCTGTGTGAAAAAGTGCCTCTTAAGTCCCTTTTAAATCTTTCCCCTCTCACCTTAAACCTATGCCCTCTACTTTTGGACTCCCCTGCCGTGGGGAAAAGACCTTGGCTATTCACCCTATCCATGCCCCTCATGATTTTATAAACCTCTATAAGGTTACTCTGACGCTCCAGGGAAAATAGCCCCAGCATTTTCAGCCTCACCCTGCAATCCTGGAAACATCCTTGTAAATCTTTTCTGAACCCTTTCAAGTTTCACAACATCGTCCCTATAGCAGCGAGACTGGAACTGAGTGCAGAGGTAAGACAAATAAAATGTGCCTGAAGATTATGAAAAGAACGAGAGCAATATCCAATAAAAACCAAAAGAACTACGGATGCTGTGAATCAGGAACAAAAATAGAAGTTGCTGGAAAAGCTCAGCAGGTCTGGCAGCATCTGTGAAGGAAAAAAACAGAGTTAACGTTTCGGGTCCGGTGACCCTTA